GTGTGTGCGCGTGTGTGTGTGGAGTGTGTGTGGAGTGTGTGTGTGAGTGTGTGGAGTGTGTGTGTGAGTGTGTGGAGTGTGTGTGTGAGTGTGTGGAGTGTGTGTGTGGAGTGTGTATGTGTGTGTGGAGTGTGTGTGTGAAGGCCTCTCTGTGAGAGCCAAAGGAACCGAGTCAGGGAGCACTCAGGCGGATGTCCACTCGGAGAGAAGCTCCCAGACCCTGGGAGGACAACACTCCTGGGCTGCGGCCTGGGGAGGCTGAGGGCAGCCTCTTAGGTGACAGAAACATCTACAGAGTTTCTGCAGGAGATGCTCTGAGAAGGGGTGTGTTGGGGGTCCCCCAGCTGGCAGCAGGGAAGGCTCCTTTTTAGATTGGTTCCCTACCACTCGCAGGAAGAGCGCCTGCCCAGCGACGGCTTCGAGGATCTGGGAGAGGCGGTCACCGAGGGGGGCGAGCGGTAAAGAGGGGCTTTGACTCTAGGAACCCCAGCTTCCCAGGAGAACAGGGCCAGGGGCAGAAGCAGGGGCAGCAGACCTCAAGCCTCTGCAGCCCGGAGGAGGTGCGAGCCGTCTGGACCGCAGGACGGACTGCGGGCCGGCGTGGCAGCCCTGGAGCGGGAGCAGCACGGGCCCCGGAGGGCAGGAGGCTAGGTGATGGGCAGGTCGGTAAGTCGGCAGAGACCGCTCTGTGGGTGACAGACGTGGAGAGTTATGAGGCGTGGACAGGCATACAGATCCTTCCAGGGTGGCTGGACCGTGTCCCCGTGCGGACTGCTCCCCGTCGCCGGGGCCAGGGCCGGCAGCAGGCGCGGGGCGCACCTGGGCAGGAGTCCTGCCAGGGGGAGCCTGGGGGCGAGTCTCCCTGGGGCGAAGGCGGAGACCCGGCGGGCGTCCAGGGCTGGGGTCTGGCAGCCGGAGCGGCGCGTGCGGCGGCAGGTGGCTCCGAGGCCAGCGGCGCCGGCGGGTGGTGGCAGGCCAGGCCGTGCGCAGGGCGGGGAGGAATGGGAGAGGCGGTGGCGAGGGGGCGTCCCCGCCGGCTCCCTCCAGCCCTGCCACCCGCGTCCTCCAGCGCGCGGCCACCGGCGTCCCCGCGGAGCCGCACGCCTGCGAGCCAGGCGTCCCCCGCCACCCGCCCACCCCAGGGGCCGCGCGTTCCGGGTGGTGCGGGGAGGGGTCGGCCTCCTGCAGCGCAGAACGCCCGGGAGACGGCGGGTCCCAGCTTCCAGTTAGGGTCCGCTCTGCTTTAAAGCGACTTGGAACTACTCCTGGCCCCGCCGAGTTCCGGCCGGCCCTCGCCTGGCTCGCGGGGCCAAGCCCTCCATCCTCCTTCCCACGGGCTGGACGGCGGCGCGGCAGGTCGCTGGCCCAAGCACTTGGGTCCCACAAGAACAGGAGGGACAGGACACACGCAGACGGGGGGGGGGTTCACGTGACGGAGGACTGCGGTGGACAGCAGGAGACTTGAGGACAGACGTGGCTTTCCAGGGTGGAGAACCGGGCAGTAGGACCCGGCGGGCTAGCGCGGAGGGTGGGAAGCGGACCCAGGTGCAGGTGGACGGGCGTGGGGCAGAGGTGGGATGGGGAAGCCGGGGGTGTGAGAGACGTACTGTGGGGACGGGAGTCGGGGAGCTGGCCAGGCGTGGGGTGGGCCATGAGGACTGACCGACAGAGGGCATCCGCGGCCGGCGAGCCCTTGGGAGAGGCCTCAGCCCTGATGACGTAGAAGGACGTGAGCCCCGCGGAGCCCAGGGCCATCTCCAAGCCATTTTGGTTCCGAGATGCGCAGGTCAAACCGACCCAAGCTGGGGGCCAGGGGAGCGCCACCTGCCTTCCCGTGAAATCCTGCGCCCCAGGGACAGGCTCAACCCCCAGGCCCACCTCCCTCCTGGTTTCTGCCTGGCCTCGAGGCTGGGCAGGGAGGGTCCCGGCTTCCCCATCTGTGCTAGACTGAGGGCACTGGTGGGGGCAAGGACAGGCAGCACCTGCGGGGCGCCCCGCGACCTGCGAGCCTCTAGGCGCTTAGGAGGGGCGCAGGCCTGCGCCTGGCTTAGGGCTCTTGGAGGGGTGGGAGCCTCCCTGGGCAGGGATAAGGGACCGGGCAGAGCCAGGGGCTCCAGGGTCAAGCCTTTCCCCTTCCTCTGCTTTGCTTGCCTTGGGGGGAGTGTCTTTAAGGACATGCTCTTGTCACAGGTTCCCAGGACAAGAGTGGTTGATGTCCCCTAGGCCCTGGCCCATGGAAGGCTGCCCTCAGGAGGAGAGATGGCCCCAGACGTCCACACTCAGCCATGTGCTCAGGTAAACACCGAGCTCAGGTGGTTCAGTCCCTCCTTTCTCTTCCCTAGAGAGTCTTCGAGGAGCTGGATGGTGCAGGTCCAGTGTGACCATGACCTGGGTGACCCGGGGCGGCTCCCACTGGGACAGTGTGGACAGCTCTATGCCCCAGGGTCACCTGACCCCCACCTCTGGAGAAGTGGAGCTAGCACCTGCTCCTGGGGAGGTCACCGAGGTGTACAGGGGCCTGGTGTCCCTTCCCAGTTCACCCAGGTCTTCCCAGAGAGCCCAGCAGGGTCTGTGAGTGGCACCTGCTGCTGCGCCTGGCAGAGAAGCCCTTCACTGAACCACTGGTCCGCCTGCTCAGAGACGAAGAGGCTGCTTTCTGGGCCATGTGGTCGGCGTTGGCTGCCGCTTTCCGCCTTGGCTGTACGACAGGAAGTCAGTCGGGTGGTGTGCCCATCCCACATTTTTCCTCTTTCTCAAATTTGTTTTGGTTCTGTTTCTGTTGCCTTTCTGTGTAGAATTCCAAATCCGCTTCTCCTCAAGCACGGAAAGATCCAGCTGGAATCTCGACTGGTTCTGGGGTTAGATCCGTGGAGCACTTTGGGAAGGGCTGACCGAGTCTTCAGGTCCTGAACACAGTGAGTCTTCCACTGGTGGGAGCCTTTGCCTTTCTGGTATTTTGTTTGCTGTTTGTTTCAAGAGGGTTGTTTAGTCTCCGCCTCACGGAACTTGTGCTTGTCAGAAGCTGGGCCAGGCACTCTGGGAGAGGTGACAAATGGTGACCTGTGAAACCTTGGTTTCAGGTCCCGTCTACCTGGCTGAACTCATCCTGGGAGTTCCTTTGTTGTTTGTTTATGTATTGGTGTTTTTGTTGTGGTGGTGTTTGGTACCAGAGATTGAACTCAGGGACACTCCACACTGAGCCACATCCCAGGCTCTCAGGGAGTTGCTGAGGCTGAGTTGCTGAGGCTGGCTTTGATCCTTGTGTCTCAGCCTCCCGGCTGCTGGGATTACAGGTGTGCATACCGCCCCACACCCCAGGCTTCCTCCGTTTTGTAAGAGACTCCTTGGGATTTTCTACATGGTATCAAGGACAGTTTTCTCTTCCTCTGTGGGTGCAGGGGTCATCCCCACCTTGACCCTGTTGGCCTTTCACCAGGAGCTATGAGCTGTGAGCTGCGCTGGCTGTAGATTTCTGTTCAGGCCAGGTCAAGGTCGAGGCAACTTGCTGGGACAAAAAATCCGCACTGACAGTTCATTCTGAGTGCTTTCTCCCTGTCCTCCTTCCCTCCTGCAGTGTGTCCCACCCCGGGGACCACTGCTCTTCGGTAGGTAACACATCATTCTTGTTTTTAAGTTTTCTCTTATTTCTTTGGTTTTCAGACTTTGGCTATAAAGTAACCTACCTTGGAGTGAAATTCTCTGCTTCTAGAATCTGCAGGTTTATGTCTTGCACTAAGCTCGGTGGATTTTCAGCTAGAATTTTACCATATATTTTTTCAGTCTTATACGCCACTCCTAGGGCTCCAGGGACACGGGTATCAGGGCCACCATTGTGCCAGTTCTGTTCATTAAATTATTTTTCTATTGTTCAGATTAATTTCTCCTCTCTTCTGTCCATTCTGCTATTGAATCTGGCCGGTGAGGTTCTCTTTTCTTTTAGTTATTGCATTTTTCAGTTCTAAGATTGTGCTTTGGTTCTCCTTTTCAAGAGTGGTCCACTTTATATATATATTTAGTTGTAGTTGGACACAATACCTTTATTTTATTTATTTACTTTTATGTAGTGCTGAGGGTCGAACCCAGGGCCCGGCACATGCTAGGGAGCACTCTCCTGCTGAGCCCCAGCCCCGTCCCCACGTCATGTTTTGAATACAGTCCTGCTGCCCTGCCACTGTGCTTGCTTCTAGAACAGACGAGTTTCTTTCTCTTCCTCATTCCCTTCCCCTCCCTGATCTCTCCCCTCACTAATCTGGGGCGGGGTAGAGGACAGGATCACCTTTCTTTCCACTCTAAGCTGAGTTATCTGTTTGAGCACAGGTCCACACTGATATGAAGCAATTCAGACCCTCAGGATGACACTGAGTGTCTCCCATTGCAACCCTGGACGGAGAACAGCATGGGACACCCAGAGTGTGGCCTCTAAATCACCTCTTCAACAACCTCCGACCCCCGGTGGGCAGGATCACAGCTCTGAGACAGGAGCCCCTGTGCTCTCCTTTGCTAGAGGAGCAATAAAACTTCTTTTTCCTTTTTCTCAAATCCATGTCCTCATTATTGGGTTAGCATCGGGGACAAGGACGGAGCTTTCCGTTACCTGATGCATCTTGTTTCTTTGCTGAGCCGGTATTTATGTCAGGACTGTTGGCAGTTGCTGGTTCAAGCATCTCTACAAGAGCTCTCTGGAGTCCTTAGGAACAAATCACGCCTGCGAGGCTCTGCACTGCTGCCCTCTGTGGCTGGGATTCTCACCCTCCTCATCTGCCCCGTGGTTTTTATTTCTGTCCTGGGAAATTTGAATATCATCTGATAGGACTCCAAGTTGATGTTTCATTTTAACCTCCTGTAGGATCCGGCCCCTGTGTTGGCTCAGGTCCCAGGGCTCTGCTGTAGGTTCCGGGCTGGCCTACCTGTGCGCCACCTTGAAGGGGGCTCAGATCCACACACCTACAGAATAGGGATGAACCCAGGAGTTCAAAAGTCAGAGGTCTTGGGATGAACTCCTCACGCTTCTTTTTCTCTGCGACTTTCTGGTTCTCTCCAGTTATCACTTCTGTATTTGTGACCAAACGGCAGGAGAAGGGAGAGGGGAAGAGCCATTTGGGAGGTTGCCACATCCAGAGGAGTGACACACATCAGCAACTGAAAACGAACAGCCTCAAAAATAAAAATATACCTCAAATGGGCTTAACACAACAGTCTGGCACAGTGGCGACCCACAGCGTTCCCAGTGTGCGGTGCTGAAGGGCTCCAGACATCGGACTTCCCAGGATCAGAAGCTCACTACTGTCTGAAGGGCGTGCGCCCCCATGCCCATCAAAATGTGAACAGGATCTTTTTGTGTGTGTGTATGGAAAAAATCATCAATCTGATCATAAAATTCATATAAAAAGTGCAAGGATTCACAGGAGCCAAACAATTTCAAAAAGGAATGAAGCTGGAGGACTAACAATTTTGAATCTGAAAACTTGCTACAAAACTCTAGTAATAAAGTGAGAGATCAATGTCCAGATCCATGGAGCCCAGGTAGGCCCATCTGGACTGGTCACTTAACCTCACGACGGTGCCAAGGATTCCCATGGGGAAAAGGGCTGTGTGTCCCACAGTGACACAACGTGACCAGGTACCTGTGTCAGCGAGAGTGGAGACCCTGGCTTCATGCCTATCACAAAAATGAGCCCAAGACCTGGAACCTGAACTCAAAGGAAAGGGGGACCTCCACGACTGTGCTGGACAGTGCCCTGGACAGACACCCAGGCAGGGTCCGCGAAGGAGCGGGCCTGAGCCCGTCACACTGACAGCTCCATGCTCCATGACTTCATAAGGAAGTGAAGTTTGGGAGAACACATTTGCAGATGGCCGCGGTGACAAAGGACTCACACTCACACTCACACTCGGGGACACGGCACCGCCCTGGCTGCTCTGCCACTGCAGCTCAGACTTTAAAGGGACCTGTTTCTCTCTCCTCCCCCCTCCCTGCTCCCCCATGAGCTCCCCCTCCCTGCTCCCCCCTGAGCTCCCCCTCCCTGACCTCAGGAAACAGGTACCTTTCTTCCCACCTGGCAGACTCCTCTGTCCCTGAGCACACCCCCTCCATAGGCAGGAAGTCCTCCAGACTCTGGGGATGGCCCAGAAGGTCTCAGAAATGACCGTCTCCCACGTCAACAAGTGAATCTCAGCTCCCACAGGGACAGGTGACGTGTGCCTTGGAGTCCCTCTGAAGGCCCTGCTCCTGCTGGTGGGACAGGGTCCCCTGGGTTTCCCCTTTGCTGCAAAACAATGAGCCTTCTTCTCCTTTTCCCAAAACCCTGTCCTCCTGATTGGATTGGCATCGGGGATAAGGACTGAGCTTTCAGCAACAAAACAAACACTTAGAAATGCTTAAATGGTAAGTTTTAAAACTATATACACACACACACACACATTTTTTTTTGATACTTCGGATTGAACTCAGGGCCACTCGACCACGGAGCCCCATCCCAGCCCTATTTTGTATTTTATTTATACAGGGTCTCACTGAGTTGCTTAGTGCCTCACTTTTGCTGAGGCTGGTTTTGAGCTTGCAATCTTCCTGCCTCAGCCTCCCCAGCCTCTGGGCATGCGCCACTGCGCCTGGTAAGATGTTGTATATATTTTACCCAATTAAGAGCGAGCTGGGTGCAGTGACACACACCTGTAATCCCCATTACTCAGGAGGGTGAAGCAGGAGGATCCCAAGTTCAAGACCAGCCTGGGCACTTAGGCCCTGTCTCAAGATAATCAGGACAAAAAGGACGGGAGCTGCAGCTCAGGGGCAGAATGTTTCTAGCAGGTAAAGAAAATAGGTAAACATGGTTTTAAAAAAATAGTAAGAATATAGGCAGGAGACGCTTCATGAGACATTTCAACAGAGAAGACAGGAAAGCTTTTGACAGATACAAGGTGGTGACACCATTAGCTACTAGAGGTATCCAAGTGGAAGCCGAAGGCTCCCTTCACACCTCCTGGGAGGCCGCCCGTGCTGCGGGATGTGGAGGCAGCGGCACTCCCTCACCAGGGGAAATGACAGCGAGTCCACCATGTCCTGGGCCTGAGGGACCACAGCCCAGATGCAGGAACACCCAGAGTACCCGTGCACTGGCATGTGGTGTGTGTGTGTGTGTGCGCTCACGTGCTCCTTGTGTGTTGGGTAAAAGCTGGGTGGTGACAGGACGGGACCCGAGGGGACAGGCAAACATGGCTTATCCAAGTGCGGGCAGCTTGGTGGACACAGCTGAGCACCCGTGGACTCACAGTGAGCAGGCCCAGCAGCAGCCAGACACCACTGAGCTGGGAAGGCGGTCTGTTGAGGCAGAGGCTGTGGCTGCCTGCGGCGGGGACGGAAGTGACGGGTACCAGGCACCAGGGTACCTTCAGGTGACAAAAATGTTCTAAAACTGGCTGGTGGTGATGGTGGCACAACTCAGCAAGTTCACTGAGTCCCTCACGTGTGGGTGGACGGCTGTGGCTGCGCACAGTGGGCGGCTGGATGGGCGTCAATCACACCGCAGTGAGTCGGGGTCATCCAAGAGACTTTCCTCAGCTCTTAGCGACTCTCCTGCCTCTGTCCCGCCCCAGCCAGTCCTGTCCTGGAGCTGCCGTCCACCCTGCAGCCTGGCACAAACCAGGGCCCCTGGTCCACGTCGCGGCTGCCACCAGGACCCTGAAGTCTGGCCTGAGGTCCACTCCAAGCCTGGCCTCAGGACTCCCCAGGGCCTGCCTCCAGGAGGCCATCACTGACCTCCAGAGGAGTGGGTCCCTTCCTGTCACCACCCAGCGTTTACTCAACACTCAAGGAGCACGTGAGCACACACACACACACACACACACACACACACACACCACGTGCCATAAACACACACACCACGTGACATACACACACACACACACCATGTGCCATAAACACACATACACACACCACGTGACATAAACACACATACACATGACACACGCACACACACACCACCTGACATACACACACACCACGTGCCATAAACACACACACCACGTGACATACACGCACACACACACCATGTGCCATAAACACACATACACACACACCATGTGACATAAACACACACACCACGTGACATACACGCACACACACACCATGTGCCATGAACACATACACACACACACCATGTGCCATAAACACACATACACACACACCACGTGACATAAACACACATACACATGACACACACACGCACACACACACCACGTGACATACACACACGCACACACACCACGTGATACACACACACACACACCATGTGCCATAAACACATATACATACACACCATGTGCCATAAACACACATACACACACACCACGTGACATAAACACACATACACATGACATACACACGCACACACACACCACATGACATACACACACCCACACACACACCACGTGATATACACACACACCATGTGCCATAAACACACATACACACACACCACGTGACATAAACACACATACACATGACACACGTACACACACCACGTGCCATAAACACAAACCACGTGACATACACACATGTACCCACACGTGACATACACACACGTACACACACACCACGTGACATACACGCACACACACCATGTGACATACACACACGTACACACACACCACATGACATACACTCAAATGTACACACACACCATGTGCCATAAATACACACACCATGTGACATACACACACGTACACATACCCCACGTGCCATAAACACACATACCACATGACATACACACATGCACACACACACCATGTGCCATAAACACACACAACGTGACATACACACACGTACACACACACCACATGACAAACACACGCACACACACACCATGTGACATACACACACATGTACACACACACCATGTGCCATAAACACACACCACGTGACATACATACATGTACACACACACCACGTGACATAAACACACATACAGATGACATACACACACGTACACATACCCCACTTGCCATAAACACACACAACACGTGACTACACACACATGTACACACACACCATGTGCCATAAACACACACACCACGTGACATACACTCACATGTACACACACACCATGTGCCATAAATACACACTACGTGACATACACACACGTACACACACACCACGTGCCATAAATACACATACACGTGACATACACACACGTACACGTGACATACACACACGTACAC